TATAAATCTAAACAGTCTTAACATATAATACAGCAGCCATACTCCTCGGTATTCACCCGACTGAGCTGAAAATTTATATCTAGACAAAAACCCGCACACAAATGTTTATAGCAGTTTTATTCGCCATCCCCCAAACCAGAGGCAATGGATGTCTTTCAAAACACAAACAAATGGAAAAACAAACCGGGCCCTCCATACCGTGGAGTTACACAGCAGTAAAAACAAATGAGCTATCAAGCCACAGAAGACATGGAGGAGGAACTTAAACTGCATATTACTAGGCAAAGAAGCCCATCTGAAATGGCTCTATACTGTATGATTCCAACTACCTGACATTCCAGAAAAGACAAAACTGCCGCAAGAGTTAAAAGATCAGTAGTTGCCAGGATTTCCGGGAGAGATTTTTAGCCACTGAAACTACGCTGTATGATACTATAATGGTAGATACCTGTCATTATGCATTTGTCAAAAACCATAGAACATACAACAGAGTGACCTTAATGAAACTATGCACCTTAATAATGGATCAACATTGTCTCATTAATTGTAGTACATATACCATGCTAATGCAAGATGTTAGTAAGTGCACAGTCTGTCCAGAGTGGGATGTGGGTGTATGGAACCCTCCATACTATAGGCTCTGTATTTCTGTAAGTCTAAAAACTGTATGAAAAAATAAAGCCTGTTAATACCTTAAAAAACAGACTATGAAATTATATCATATGATCCATTTTGATTATGTGTTTATGTGCATACAAATAATCTGAAAGGTCATAACCAAGAACGTTATTTTAAAAAATCTCTTGACTTACACATTTTACTAGTATTATACAGCCATAGAGAAAGAAATACAAAGAGAAAGGAAAGACTACATGAAAAGTGTTAGATTAGGTTTTAAGAACGGATCCACTGAGGGAAAAGCTAAGAGCTGTCAAATACTGACAAGCTCTGCTATTTCAGAACAGACTTACCTACAAACTGACCATTCTCTTAACATTTTTCATAATGGCATTTGAAAAGTAACATCATTTTTTATGATTTTGGGGGGTATATCAAAATTTTCACCCCAAACATTCTAAATTTATAGAGTGTAAAGAGTGACATTTGGACATTATGGGTTTAGGCAGATATTCCAATTTAGCGGACACAAGTTTCTTGTCAGAGAATATGGTAGGGAATAAATCTGAATTGCATGCCGTATTTGGATGAACACAGAACATTCTGGTTTCCGTAAGAATCCCAGGTGAGAGGTATGAAAAGGCAAGATCGCTTGTGATTCTTTATGCTGTGTACATGCCCTATGTTCCCACTGTGAACTGCTCTCAGCATGGTTAGCTTTTGTTTAGTTCTTAAGATGTCTATGTTAAAGTATTATTATTTCACTGCGTATTTATTTTTGAGAGAGAGGCAGAGCACAAGCAGGGGAGGGGCAGAGAGAGAGGGAGACAGAATCCGAAGCAGGCTCCAGGCTCTGAGCAGTCAGCACAGAGTCAGACACAGGGCTTGAACCCACAAACCGTAAGATCATGACCTGAGCCGAAGTCAGATGCTTAACGGACTGAGCCACCAGGTGCCCCCGTGGGTTACTTTATTTTCAAGTATGATTGGAGTACATATAGACTAACCAGATGATCTCAAATCCCTTTTGGGGCAGCTTGCTGTGAATATTTAATTTTTGCCAACGAAAACATAAAGTTCCGAATCAGCAGTATGTTCTGGAAAAGCACATCATGTCTTGAGAAATCTCAGATTATTGGAGAAATACATCAAAGACAGTGGATAGGAAAAATCACTGGTTGTGGGTCACCATCAAATGCTGCTCCATCAGCAAAGCTGAGAGCAGTGGAGGACGGAGTCAGTGAGGTGCCTAGGTGAGTAACTCTTCATTTGAAGAAACTATAGTTTGAAAGAATGTTAAAGGGTGTACTGTCATATAATACAAAGATTAAGAAAGCAGCAGCAACAAATTCTCAAGGAAAACTAGGAAGTAGATCTAATTCTGACAATAAATGACTGTATGGAAGTCCGTCACCTGCCTTCCACCAAACAATGACCCCTGCACCTCTTCACCAATGACCACCCACGATCCAGCCTTGTTTGGCAAGTACTGTAAACGTTTTCATGCATGAACTGCATCAAGCCGTCTTCACCTGAGTTTATGTCATCTGGTCCACACCAGCATTTCTTCCGCCACACTCTGTTCTTTTCAAGTACTAACTCGTTTAATCCTCACGCTAACTCAACGAACTGTGCACGATTATGACCTCCATTTAATGGATGAAGGAATGGGGGCAGACACAGGTGAGGAACTTGCCCAGGGTACCCGTGAGCTGGCAGTTAAGATTCAAATCCTGGAAGTCAGCTCCTCAGTGGGTCTCCTATACTACACGCTGATGCCTCACATTTTTTTTACATTTACGAGCAAATGTCTGCTACCGCAATCTCAGAACGCAATCTGCCTTTCCTCTCCTGAAATACCATCTCCCTTATTTTCAGTGTATATAATTTGATTTATGGCTATCGGCATCCTATTAGAAAACAGTTCCATTTCAGAGAATGTGGAAGATGAGGAAATAGAAACGTATTTCCCCAAATTTGAAGACTGTTCCCCAAACTTCTTATTTCCATTTCCTTACATGCTACTTAAAAACAAGTTTAACTTCCTAAAATTTAGGGTATTTTACTGATACCCTAAACAATTAAAATAATTTCACTAAGACTTTAATTAAGCCTAATATTTAGTTAATGTTAGTAAGCTAACCTCCCTGAAACAAAAACTGTAACAATAACAAATTGCATTTTTAAGGTTTCCAAAAACCAAAACAGAATGGAGGAAATGCCCCTCCATGGTTTGGTAAAGGCAAAGCTATACTTTTCCCCTTCCAAATTAATTCTGTGAAATGTGAAACATTAAGATGGTTTTTATTTCTGAATTTAAAAGGCAATGATAAGTGGGAATCAAAGGGCACCCAGAGTAACAGAATCCCGTGACAAAGCTTTCCTTCTATCAATGTTTGATGAATATTCATAACCTACCAATTTAAAACCAACATTCTAAAGGAAGTAGGTCAGGACTACAACCTGTATTTGCCAATGTGGGTTCCAATTTAGGAGCCCAATACTAACAACTCTTATTTATTTAGGACAATCCTTTACTATAAGATCGTCAAACTATCTTTTGTTTCTAGGTTGTAGGTTTCTAAAAAATACAATTTTATGCAAAATATCATGTCCTTGTTTCGGAAACTCTTTCCATTTCTTAAAGATCAACTTGGATACTGCTTCAGGTAGAAATACTGACAGAGGACACACGTCACAGCAAGATGGGAAGGAGAGAACGACCCACAAAGTCAAGGCCACGTGTATGTGTTTACCACCACTTTTTAGTACTTTCCACGGAACCAAAGTGGTGCAGGGCAGGCACCCAACTGTGCTGAGTGACTAAAAAATGGGACAGCCTACATGACCGAGAACCCAACTAACGTGACTTCATTCCCAGGAATACTCTTCTTCAATATTAGAAATAAATCTGAGTTAGATGGCAAATCCACCGACATCTTCATGCAGGTATTCACATCAGATTTCCTTCCCTCAGTACCCTAGAAATTTTGAATATGGTTATGAATTCTTTGCTTAACGAAAAACGTACCTGTTTCAAGGATTGCTTTAGAGTCCCTTCACGTAAATTAGGACACAAAAAACCCAGTTTAGTGCTGCAGCTCGTTAGAATTCTTCCTTTATTGTAAAACCGGGGAATTGGTACACTCCGCTTCCAGCCAATAATCTCCTTAGCACCGTGTCTGAAATTCATCCAGCCTCTGTCTAGCTTCAAGACATTTCATCCTATTATACGGTTCCACCCACAAACCAGGTTTATCCTCCTACCGCTTGGCCCTCCAATATACTATTCCCCCCCAGAAACCAATGTTTAAAATCCTTAAACGCGCACGGCAGTTAACAGACGGTGCTTAACCGCCATCTACCTCCTCCTCCTGGGGACCTTGGGGCAATTTCATGACCTTGCAGGGTACTTGCTTCGGCACACTGGTTTCAGGATAGTGCTAGGTGTCTTTCCCTTCCGATCCCCATCAGGCGGATTTTTAAGGTCCCTTTTGCACCCCAACTCCCATTAAGCCCACGGGGCCACGTATTTGACTCGGCGGTGCCCGGCAAGGAGCCTGCTACATGTCAGTGCTTAGCACACGCCTGGCTGAATCGAACAGCTCTTCCTGGCTCATGCAAACCCTGCCCAGCACTCGAGGCATTCAAACGGCGTCAAGGGCACACAGCACAACCGAAGGTCCCCCCACCCCCTCGCTTTGCGGGCCCGGCCAAAACTCCACGACACTCGCTGCCCGGCCCGCAGCAGGCGCTCCCTAAGCGAGTATGAGCGGAATGAATCCGAAACCAATCCTGAAATCAGTTCGGCCTGAAGTCTCAACCCCGGGGTCCCGGATGACCGCTCCTCGTGGCCGTCACCCTGCCCCCCGTCAGGGGACGCGGCCGGACCTTGCTGTGGCCGCAGCCCCTTCTCGCGCCCTCCCCGGATCGGAGGCGCTTCCCGCAGCCCGGGCTTCCCGGGGCCTCCGCGGGACGGGAGGCCGGGCAGGCCGTGCGACCCTCGCCCCGTCCCACTCGCTTCCGCTTCCCCCCGACCGAGCCCTCCCACTCCTCGCAAGCCCCTCGTTCCTCCCGCCAGCTGCCATACCATTGCGGCTGCACGGCCCAGGCCGAAAGCCCAGCGACGCCCGCCCGAGAGAACATGGTGCTACCCGCCCGGCTGAAGGTCGGCGAGACAGGCCTCACCGCGCAGGCGCGGGACCTTCCCAAAGCGCCCTCCCACCCCGCGTTCTCCTTCAGTCTCGCTTCCTCCCGCCAGACGGAAGGAAGCCTCGCGAGCGTTGGCGGAGGCCAGCCTCCCGAGGCCCCACCTCCTTCCGGCTCGCGGCCGGTATTTGTCCCGCCCCCGCTCCAGTCGGCCTCATTCCGCTTCCGGTCGGCCGGGCGCTGCGGCCGAGTCGTCCCGGCTGTGGTCGCGATGGGGAAGTCAGATTTCCTTACCCCCAAGGCCATTGCCAACAGGATCAAATCCAAGGGGCTTCAGAAGCTGCGCTGGTATTGCCAGATGTGCCAGAAGCAGTGCCGGGACGAGGTAAGCGGGCCTGGAAATCCGGGTTCCAGTCCCTGGCGCCGGGGGTGAGGGAGTGGAACTTGAGCTCCCGGCCGAGTGGGTTCTGCGCCGGGCGAGGCAGCGGCTCGGCTCGGCACCGCCGTCCGTCCCTGCAGCCCTGATCCTAGGGGGGCCAGTGACCTTTGACACTTTCTTCCACGGTCGTCCGCCAGAAAGAAATGAAATAAGAGGCTTCGCAGCTCTCATAGACGCGATGCTACTCAAGCTGTCATAAACGGAAGCGTTGAATAGTGCGGTGCCCCGTGCGCGCCAGCGACAGTAACAGTCATCTCTGACTTGATGCGACGCCAGAGAAACAGGATGATCAGGATTCGCCCCTCTTTTCGGGACCAGATGAGAAAGTTCTGGCACAGCCCTCCTCTGACAAGCGTTTACTGAGCACCTGCGGGGTGTCAGGCCCAGGATATGACTTACTGTGGTGACGATCGCGGACCGTCAGATTCTGCATCCTAGCCGCGCCGCTTGCTAGCTGTGTAGGCCTGGGCAACTTACTTGTATTCCCTCTGCCCGTTTGCTTCTCTGAAAAGTGGGAATAATAATTGTACCCACCGGGAAGATGGTGAGTTTTCAATCAGTGAATTATGTGTACAGTGGCCCCAGGGGTCTTTGGGCAGATCTTGAAAAGGTCTGTATACAGTACAGCGGCGTTTATAGTTTTTTTCTCATTAATGAGGTGGATGGTGAGGCCCCTTGAAGAATTGAGAGCAAGCTAGTGAGGCGTCATGGTTTTCTCCGGAGGTTGAATTGGATTGGGTACATGCAGCGGAACGGTGGGTAATTGTTTCTGCAGGTGAGGGATTAGATACTTAAGGAGGACTCACATTGACTAACACTGATGCAGTGACTCTTTTTGCTTCTCTCCAGTTTTTGTTTTTGTTTTTTTAATGCTTTACTTTGAGAGAGACAGACAGAGCACGAGCAGGGGAGGAGCAGAGAGAGAGAGGGAGACACAGAATCCGAAGCAGGCTCCAGGCTCCCAGCTGTCAGCACAGAGCCCGACGTGGGGCTTGAACTCACGAATGGCAAGATCATAATCTGAGCCCAAGCTGAATTCTTAACTGACTGAACCACCCAGGTGCCCTGTCACTTCTTTTTTTTTAAAGTTTTATTTATTTATTTTGAGAGAGTGTGCACAAGCAGGGAAGGGCAGAGAGAGAGGGAGTTCCAAGCAGGCTGTGCACCCATCAGCATGGAGCCTGTTGTGGGGCTCAAACTCATGAATCGTAATATCATGACTTGAGCCGAAATCCAGAGTCAGATGCTTAACTGACCGAGCCACCCAGGCGCCCCCTGTAGTTCTTTAACAGTCAAGGTGAAAGTCTCACACAGTAAACTAGAGGCAAGTACAGTGAACATCTGGATATCTGTTACCCATATTTAACATTTAAAGACACTTGCCGGCTTTGCTTTTTTCAGAAATATGTTAAAGTCAATTGCAAACATCCAGGATATGTTGTCTCTAAATACTTAAGTATTTCTCTCTAAGATATTTGGCTATTTTTCTACATAGACACAATATATGTCATCACCCATAACAAAATTAATAAAAATTCTTTTATGTCATGTGATACACATACCATATTTACATTTACGGCCTTGTTCCCACAAGTGTTTTTAAAAGTTTTTTGGGCCATCTGGGTGGCTCAGTCAGTTAAGTGTCCGACTTCAGCTCAGGTCATGATCTTGTGGTTCTTGGGTTTGGGCCCCGCATCGGGCTCTGTGCGGACAGCTCGGAGCCTAGAGCTGCTTTGGATTCTGTGTCTCCCTCTCTCTGCCCCTACTCTTCTCTCTCTCTCGCTCTCTCTCGAATAAACACTAAAAAAAATTTTTTTAAGTTTTTTTTTAAAACCAACACCCAATCAAAAGCCATGAATCAGATTTGTTTATTAGGGCTTAAAAAAAATAAACTATTTTTTTAGAGCAGGTTTAGCTTCACAGCAATAATGAGCGGGAGGTACAGAGACCTCCCATCCACAGCCGGTCCCCACATTTGTACAGTTTCCCCATTATCAGCATCTTGCCACAGACGTGGACTTTTGTTACAGTCAGTAAGGCTACATGGGCACATCGTCATCACCAAATCTGTAGTCGATAGTGGGATTCACTCTTGATGTTGGACGTTCTGTGGTTTGGGACAAATGGACAATGGCATATCCATGATTGTATCATAAAGAATAGTTTCATTGCCCTAAAAATCTGGATAATTAGGACTCTTAATCCTCCCTCAACTCTAAACAGAATATATAATCCACTTCCCTTTCCCTCCCATCCCCCCAAAACCCAATTGTTTTTCCTTTTTTTAAATTAATTTTTTTATATGAGCATAGCTGTCATTCACCACGCACATATTAGTTACATTAGTTTCTGTGTACAACATAATTTACACCTTGTGCGGGGCTCACCACAGCCACCATGCAGCACTGTACCAGTGCCATCGACTGCATTCCTGTGCCGCACCGTCTGTTCCCGGGACTTCCCGTTCCATCACTGGAAGCTGCATCTCCCCTCCCTGTCCCCTGTTTGCCCAGCCGCCTTCCTTAGCCCTGCAGCCATCAGTTTATTCTCTGTATTTATAGGTCTCATTGGGCTTTTGTTTTTGTTTATTTATTTCTTATTATTTTTTTTTTTGAAAGAGAGAAGTGCACGTGTATGCCCACGTGAGCTGGGGCAGAGGGGCAGAGGGAGGGAGAGAATTTCAGGCAGGCTCCACACCCAGGGCAAAGCCCGACGCGGGGCTCCATCTCAGGATGGTGAGATCGCTACCTGAGCCCAAATCCAGAGTCCGTCGCTCGACTGACCGAGCCATCCAGATGCCCCTTTTTCTTGTTTATAAGATTCCACATAGAGGTGACATCATATGACGTTTGTCTTTCTCTGAGTTATTTTACTAAGCATAACACCCTCTAGGCCCATCCATATTGTCACACATGGCGAGATGACATCCTTTCTCATAGGCCGAGCAATATTCCATTGTGTGTGTCCTGTTTATCCATTCACCTGCCCATGGACATTTGAGTTGCTTCCGTATCTTTGCTATTTCAGTTGTTTTTCTGACGTTGACTTGAAGAGGCTTGTCCAGTAAGTGCCCTGACCAGTCCCACTTTCTGATACGAAACAATTAAGTTGCCTTGTGGTTGTCTTTCTCCCTCCTTCTCTGAACTGGAGCTTGGAGCCGAAGGCTTGCTCAGGTTCAGGTTACATGGTTGGGGGAAGACTGCTTGGTAGGTGATCCTGTGGGGTTCACACCTCACCACACAGTGCACATTTATGCATCACATAAGGAGACCCATAATGTCAGCTGGTGCCAGGATAATTGAGCACAGATGACAGTTGTGTTAGAAAGTAGCGATTTCCCTCTTGCGGAGCAGTTAGTAAGGAATGTATCTAGTTTACAGTCAGCCTTTCACTTAGGGGTCTTAGCATCCTTGCTTGAGTCTATTATGTCCCTAAGAGTTGCAAAGTGGTAATTTTTCTGTACTTCTCTAAATTTGTTTGTTGTTGGCTACCATTCTTCGTAAAACTGAGCTTTTCCCATTAACTAGAGCTGTGTTTTGTTCTCCTTAAATACAGACTTTATGGCAAAAAGGGGGATATATGCTTAACTCGTTCCTTTAATGGCCGATTTCAGAGTCAGACACTTGGGGTGATTCTGTCCTGTTTGCCCTCAACTCTGCGCATCGCCCCCCACCCCCAGCTGGGAGGGGCGCTGCAGGAGGAGAGGTGACCCCTCCCAGTGCCGGTTCCTCTCCCTCTCTCTCAGTATTGGAAGATTGAGGGGGAGGATGGTCGGATCCAGAGTCCTCCCCTCCTGCCCACCCACTCTCCTGGGTTTCTAGAATTTACTGACCTCATTTGGTTTTCATTTTACCGATTTATTTTTAATTTATGGGAGGTTGTACTGGTTTTTCATTTATGAGGCCAATACCAAGTTTCCTTTTAGGTTCCTTTAAGTGAGAGTAGTGCATGGGCAGAACTCAGTTGGGAGCATTGTTTAGGTCGTCTGAGGGTGACTGAGGCCGAGGAAGCTAAGCGAGATGGAGTGTTGGGCCGAGATGGACAGCACCGCAGGAGAGACCCAGGCGTGGGTCGTCGGCTCACCGAGATGGGAGCCTGGGGGGGGAAGGGGGGGAAGACTCAGTCGTGGGACAGTCTCTATCGCCGAGATGAGGAACACAGGAGGGGGGGGAAGGTCGGGGCGCGGGACGGTCCCGCTTGCTGAGATGGGAGCACGGAGGAGAGGCCCAGTTTTCATTGTCGGGGCTAGTGAAGAATCAGCTGTAAATGTTAAGTCACATAGACACAAAGCCAAAACTTGTCATTTTTTTTTTTTTACAATCACCTGATGAAGATGCAGATTTAGCGTGTGAGGCTTCTGTAATACGTAATAGTGTATTTTGGAGGATGAGCTAAAGTAGAGAAAAGTGAGTGAGAAAAGTTCCCCTGATGGCCACTCACTCACGGCCTCTGTTACCTGCTTATGTTTCCCCAAGCACTTTCCTCACGGTACATGCCATAGGTGTTCAATAGAATTTGGTAAGTTGATTTAAACAACAAAATCACTCTTCTCTTCCTGTGGCCTGTCCTGTTTCTTACCGATGTCTGCTTTCCAAAGCACGACTTTCTGTCTCCTTAATCTTCTGGGATTATTCTCCGAGTAGCAGTGTTGCATAACTCAACCTCATAAAAACTTTTTTTTAAAAAACATGACTGTGTGCTTAAAGCTAGTGATTTTCTTTCTTTCTTTTTTGTTACAATCTATCATCAAAGAAGAGGTTTTTAAAGTTAATTACATACTTCTGTTTAGGGCCCATGGCGGTGACCTAAGTCAGAATCTAACCACTACTTAACGTTTTTTGTAGAATGGCTTTAAGTGTCACTGCATGTCTGAATCTCACCAGAGACAACTACTGCTGGCTTCCGAAAATCCTCAGCAGTTCATGGATTACTTCTCCGAGTAAGTAACCTGAAGACGTCCTTATCTCCTAAGCTTCGTGCAGTCCTTTACATGTGCTTAATATTTTATACATTGGGACCTCTGTCCGTTCCTCACACAGAAACGCAATAGCTCTGTTTTCTGATGCTCGGCTTTTGTTTTCCTTTGACAGTTTATCACAGTCTAAATTTGTTGCAGAAGCGTTTCTCACAATTTAGCGTTTCTCACGATTCAGTCTTGCGCCCTGGAAATAAAACATTGTCTTTGATTCTAACTCAGCTGTGGCCCAGAGCACGGCTGTGGAATCTGACTGCCTGCCTTTACGCCCTGCAAACTCAGGCTCCTCCCTTCATGAGCTGCGTGACTCTCTCTGAACCACTTACACTTGTCTGTGCCTTTGTCTCCTCATCTGTAAAATGGGACTAAAAACAGCACCCTCTTCCAAGCGTTCTCTTTATTTCATAGGGTTTAGATGAAGATTAATGAGTTAATTAATGCTTTTAAAGTGTTTAGAAGAGGACCCAGTACTGGGTTCTTATTAGCTATTAATTGTTATTACTATTAATATTTAGTCTTCTGTCTCTTTCTTTCCTAAGTTCTAAACCTTTCAGTCTTAGGACCCCTTTACACCCTTAAAAATTACTGAAGAGCCTCAAAGAGCATTTGTTTGTGATCGATATTGATATACTGGTACTTGTGAGTTAGGGATTAAAAATGAAAAAAATGAAATGTATTAATTCATTTAAAATAACAGTATAAAACTATTACGCGTTAAAATAAGTAAATTTAAAAAATTTTTAATGTTTATTTATTTTTGAGAGAGTGATATCGTGAGTTGTGGAGGGGCAGAGAGAGAAGGAGACTGAGAATCCCCAGCAGGCTCCGCACTGACGGCACAGAGCCCGACGCAGGGCTTGCACTCTCAAACCATGAGATCATGACCTGAGCCAGAGTCAGGCGCTTAACCGACTGAGCCACCCAGGTGCCCCTAACATAAATAAATTTTTTAATAAAAATAACAATTTTCCAAAATAGAAAAAAAAAGGAATAGCATTGCTTTCCATTTTGCAAATCTCTTCAATGTCTGGCTGGTAGGAGACGGTCCGATTCCACAGCTGCTTCTGTATTCAGTGTCCTTCAGATGTTTTGGGTGAAGCACATAAAGTTCATCGATGTCTAGTTCGAATGGGGGAATATTTTAAAAGCCTTTTTCAGATAATTTTGGAAGTTCTTCTTTGCTACAACACCAGAACACATCAGCATGATAATTTCTTAAAGATTAGTTGCCTTGTGGAATGTGAAGCCGTATCCGGGAACTTTTGTACTCTGTTACATAGTGATCCCTTGGTCTTGCACTTTATTTTATTTTATTTAAAAAAATTTTTTTTTTTTTTTTAATTTCTGAGAGAGAGAGAGAGAGACAGTGTGAGCAGGGGAGGGTCAGAGAGAGAGGGAGACTCAGAATCTGAAACAGGCTCCAGGCTCTGAGCTGTCAGCACAGAGCCCGACTTGGGGCTTGAACCCACGAACCGTGAGATCATGACCTGAGCCGAAGTTGGATGCTTAACCGACTGAGCCACCCAGATGCCCCTTGGTCTTGCACTTTAAAGGGACCTTGTAGCCATGCATGATTTTATGTCATCGTGCGTTGGCCATTCGGAAAATACTGGTTCACTGAGTGTTCCGAATGGTGACACATTTTGTTACATGTATTCATGTCAACATCAGTGTCATCAAAGAGGCCTTTAGTATCCGGAGGTATGTCAGACTCACAGTGGCCGATGCTAGTTTACCAGATTCACATTTTTGCTGGAAAGCTCAAATTTTATCATGGGCAACAAATACTGTCAGCTGTTTTCCTTGATGTGACAAGGCTCACTTTGCCTGGTTTTGACAAAACGTCCACTAAAGATCGATTATTAAATAACCATAGTTGACTGGCCTGTCCTTCTTTCAAGTGGAAAGGGTGCATGGTGATGGGTAGTCAGTGCATTGCTCAGAGTATTACACGCATGCTGTGCTCACGATGGGGCACGGGCGGCCGTGGGGCTGGGCTGTTCGCCAGCCCGTCCCCCTCACCCACCCCCCCCGTCCCGGGGCGTTAGATGTGGCCCCTCTGGCTGAGATTCCGTGCTGTGCTACCGCCCCATCGGGACATTCTTGCTGTGAGCACCCTGGATGCTCGCCGCAAGTGTGCGCCCACAAAGAACACCCTGGCTGCCTGTGTGGTCCGGCCTCGCCGCCCCTGCCCTGCCCTGTCCCCATGCCGACAGGTGCGCCCTGCAGGTGGTTCAGTGCCAGCAGCACGGGTCACGTGGCGAGAAGGGCAGCCGTGTTGATCTGTGAGCCACATAAAACCACCTGGGGTGCCATGGGCTACACGAGCCACGTTTGGGAAATACCATCTTGGCGAGAGCAGTCTACACTGGGGCTTACTTACTGCATCCACTTAGCTGTCCGGTTTCCGTCTTTCTCTTTGTCTTCAGGGGATGATGCTCTTAACTACTCACAAACACCTCTCTGGTTTCCGTTCTTTCCTGGCTTTTCTCCCCCTCCCCCTCCCCCTCCCCCTCCCCCCCCCTCCCCCCTCCTCCCTCCTCCTCCTGCCCGCTTGCTTCCTTAGCCCCTCTTCCTTTCCTCCCAGCTCCTCCATCGCAAGCACGTTCCTCAGGGTGGCCTCCCGGCTTCCTCCCAGGCTCCAGGGCTTCTGTCACTCTTCCAGCTGTTCTCTGTGGGGTGACTCCTCAGTGTTACTGCTCATTCCTCATATCTGTCGTAAGCTGTGGTTTTTCTGGGCAGCTGGGATCTGTATTTCTGAAGGCTCTCTCATAGCCAGCATCTTAAGGCCGAACGCAGTGTTCTGTCCACCCCGCGTGTCGTGTGCTGGCTGCAGCTACCTACCCGGAAAGCTAAGCTGGGACTTCCTGGTGTTGATTCTCCTCTGCAGTGTCCTTAAACTCCCATCCTCTGCGTTCTCCCGGCCCTGGTCCTCACTCTCAGCATGTGTCGCCGAAATTAATTCGGTGACTTCCCCACTGTCCTCCCAGGCGCAGCTTCTGTCCCTCCTGTACATGTTTTAAGCCCACGGTTCACAGACCACCACGTGCATCAGAATCACCGTGAGGGCTCCTAAGAACAGTGGCGGATTCTGATTCCGTACATCCGGGCCGGGGCTGGAGACGTATTTCTATCAAGTTCCCAGGCGATGTTGATGCTACTTTTGTGGGGAGCACACTTCGAGATTATCATTCTAAATCACAGATTTTCATAGATCTGGTGCTTTTCCACTGCACACATAAAGCCCACCCTCTTGGGCATGACGTTCAAGGTACTTCGAAGATCAACCCCGCCATCATTTTCCTGCTGTGTCTTCCAGCCCCGCCCTGTTACTCTGTTCCGTCCTACTGTGCCCTCATTTCTGTCTACTCACATGAGCTCAATGAGGTCATCATTTCCCAGACGTGACATTTCCATGTTTCTCTGCCACCGGGAATGGCCTTATCGCCCTCTCCACCCATAAAGTCCCGTTGCCACTTCACTGCCCACGGTAAAGATCGCCTGCGGGCATCTCCCTCAACTCTGGGACGTTGTGTTACATCTCTGCAGTTTGACTTCTGTTATGATTGGTTCTGCTAGATCGTAACCGGGTCAAGATTTAGGTTTTGTTCCCCTATGTTTACCCAGCACTTAACACAGTGTATTCAGTGCAAGGGACACATTAAGTACCAGCTTCACGTGGAATTGGGGAAGTTTGGTATCATGGACAGAATGGTGGCATTACGCCACACTCAGATGTGCCGAGAGACTTCACGGAGGAACCTCTCCTGACACGTGTAGTCGCTTTTGCTGCAGCCGCGCTGTGGAGACTAGAAGTCTCCACTCCAAACTGACCTTTAACTGAAATCCTCGAAAGCTGTAAACTTTCGGGATTCCTTCCTTTTTCATTTCTTGAAGCTTCCTAACAGATAGTCACATAGATGTTTCACGTATCATTTGCAGTCACACTTTATGTTGGCTTCATATTTGTAGAACTACCTTAATGCTTTCCTTCCTTTCCTTATCAGGGAATTCCGAAATGACTTTCTAGAACTTCTCAGGAGACGCTTCGGTAAGCATCTGGGTGTCGCACACACAGTAAGTCCTTAAGCCATAAAGCTGCTCCGGGCTGACAGTGTGCTGTTCTGTCGTCAGGCACCAAGAGAGTTCACAACAACATCGTGTATAACGAGTACATCAGCCACCGGGAGCATATCCACATGAATGCCACCCAGTGGGAGACGCTGACCGATTTTACTAAGTGGCTGGGCAGAGAAGGTGAGAATAGACAGGGTCTGAGGGGCTCAGGGGCAGACACTGAGGCCTGTCTTGGTCCCTGTGTAAAGTCATGGAGAAGAGGACAGCGGGGCAGTTAACACCTGGTGGAGGGGAGCACAGTCTTCCAGGACCGGTTCTGTGTGTTCTGCCCAAATGCGAGCATCTGGAACGGATCATTTGCCAGCAACCAGGTCTGTCACGGAAGCCTCCTCTCCCTCAGGTTAAGAATTATTATCAGTCCTCCCCCGCATATGCATTTTACTTTCGGGAGCTTTTGTTACCCCCACATAAGGAGCTTTTTAAAGATTTGCTGCAGCTTTTTCCATTCCTAATCTTCATAGGATGATGCTTGGGAGAAGAGAGGGATCAGTGTGTTACTTTATTCCATTTCACAGGGAAAAATTCTATGTAGTTAAGGTATCAGAGTATCACATACTCATCGGATGTTGAATACTTACATAATTATTAAGCAAGATGATACTTCTTTTGTGTATTTCCCTTGCATATGTAGTCACCCTAACCCAGCTAGTTAAAAATCAGAATGATAATTTTTTCCATTCAAGGAGATTAAATATGCCACTTAAAATATCTGAATTTTATCGACTGTGAGTATGGAAAACTCGTGGGCCGCATGAGTCTGTGTATTTGAATGAATGAGTGCATGACAGGGAGATGAAACACATTTGTATTTCCCTTTGGTTTTGGTCGTGTATGAATTTGTTATTTTTTTTTTTTTTCCTTTTTAAGGCTTATGCAAGGTGGACGAGACTCCGAAGGGCTGGTATATTCAGTATATCGACAGGGACCCAGAAACTATCCGCCGGCAACTGGAACTGGAGAAAAAGAAGAAGCAGGACCTCGACGATGAAGAGAAAACAGCCAAGTTTATTGAAGAGCAAGTGCGAAGAGGTCTGGAAGGGAAAGAGCAGGTGGGCAGCCGTGCCGGTCAGGGAGGCAACAGGAAAGGCCTCGGGAAGCAGCATTTTTAAGCATCGCGTTGGGTTTGGTAGGTGCTGTTCCTTAATGGAGAGGAGAAAGCATGGCTGAGTCTGAAAGGCCGGCTTCCGGAGTCGAGGCCAACCTGGGTCCCATCTCTGACTTCCTGACTCAGCATCTTGTAGAGTTCTATGATCTTCTAAACCTCAGCTTCCTTCTCCGGCGGAGGTGACAGCTCATGGGGAAGACATAGCAGATGACGTCACCGCCGTAAGTAGCCCAGTGCTGCAGTTAAACACGGTGGGGGAGCCGAGGTGCCGGCCCTGCGCCAGCCTGAGCAGGGCGTAGAATATGGGAAGGCAGATACATCCTCTGGGCCTGAAGAATCAATGGGAGGCAGGGCCTGGGGAACGTGGGTCAGGTGTTAGAATAACCAGAAGAAGGCATTTATTTTAACAAATATTTATGGGGTGCCCTTTGTGTGCCAGGCCTTCTTCTAGGCACTGGGGAGAGAGCAGTAAACAGAAGAGAAGAGCTCCCTGCGCCCTGGTGCTACATCCGGAAGGCTGTGTGGGGGAAAGCCTAGCCTAGTATATAGGTGACGCTACTAGCCGCTTAGTAGTTTTAAAAACTTTATTGTGGCATAAGACGCGTGTGATAAAGTGTATGATGCACGTTCATCTTAAGGTTACAGCTCAGTGAAGTTTTACGTGTGTGTGCATCTTTGGACGGACAGACGGATGGATGGCTGGATAGTAGATGCACAGATAGCCTGTGGGGCAACGACCCAGATCAAGATTCAGAGCCTTTCCAGCGTCATACTCATTCCCAGTATTCCCCGTTCCCCAGGCAGGAAGCCATGTTCTGATGCGGCACTCTTAATTACTTGCCAGTGTGTTCTTGAACTTTGTAGAAATGGGTCATACAGTATACCGTGTCTGTCATCTTTAACTCGAACAGAATGCTCTTTGTGTTTACTGCACCTATGTTCTTTTCTACCAATGTCTCACCCTTTTTAAAACTGATGTCTGTTCCATTTTATGAATATCACACAATTTATCCATTCTCCTGTTGAGAAGCATGTGGCTTGTTTTCGGGATTTGGCTACTATGGCTATAGCTGCTCTGATCGTTACTGTTTGTGTCTTATGGAAGCTGTTTAGTTCAGAGAGATGCAGGAGAGCGCAGGCAATCAGAAAGTAAAGGTTGTTTACAAGTCACCTTTTATACCATGTGAATTGCCCTTGACAAGTGAGTGGCTGTGCATGCTTAATATGGCCCTGCTTTTGTGTGCGTGTGTTCACACCATCTTCAGGAGTTTTCTTTATTAAATTAAAATAGAAGCAAGGTTTAAACCACGGTAGTGGTAAAATTTAAACCCCTGCCTAAGATTGAAAAGGTTTTATTCTTGAAATTCTTTCACCTTTTTAAAATTTAAACCTCCGGAGGAGCCTAGGCAGCTCAGTCGGTTAATCATCTGACTTCAGCTCAGGTCATGCATGATCTCACAGTCCCTGAGTTTCAGCCCCGAGTCGGGCTCTGTGCTGACAGCTCAGAGCCTGGACCCTGCTTCGGTTTCTGTCTCCCTCTCTCTGTCCCTCCCCTGCTCATGCTCTGTCTTCCTCTCTCTCTCTCTCTTTCAAAAATGAATACACGTTACAATTTTTTTAAATGTTTATTTATTTTTGAGAGCGAGAGAGAGGAACAGAGAGAAAGGGAGACACAGAATCAGAAGCAGGCTCCAGGCTCTGAGCTGTCAGCACAGAACCCGAATGGGGCTTGAACTCACTGACCACGAGTTTATGACCTGAGCCGAAGTTGGATGCCTGACTGAGCCACCCAGGGGCCCCTAAAAAAAAAGTTTTTAAAGTAACATTGTGTCTTTTGCCTTCTTTTGTGAGATCTTAATGGACATTACCTGAGAAAAGAATATCTCAGCTGGATCTCAAGAACATCTTTTTTGTTAAACATTTTATTTATAAGAAGATCTCTTTTATTAGTAGAAACCATAATTAGCATTTATCAAACACTGTTGCGGGCATGATGCTAAGTGTTTCCTTGATAGTATCCTATGAACCCTTATGCTACCTCTAAATATGCACGTACCCCTGTTTTAAAGGTGGAACAGTGGAGGCCCAAGGGAGACCGTGAGAGCGGCAGGGCCCGTCCCGTGCGGAGGTGTCTCACCTGCACTTCCTCCTGAGCTAGTCTTAGACCCTCGCTCGATCTTACACTAAACTATCCCATGACGGAGAAAGGTTTTGCTTTTTAAGGGACCCCTAGTTTGTTTTATGTTGGTTCCATTTTACATTGTGGTAGAAAGAAAAATGGAGGTAAACTTCTGCAGCCTGGCTCAGAGAAGCTACTTTTTCCCCTTTAGAATGAGGCTCCGCTGGAGACTGTTTGCAGTACATATGACTTCGTAGCTAGGATCTTAATCACCTTAGGGCTGCGTGTTGGAGCTGCCGCAACTTGCCGTGGCAAATGCACCGTGAACCAAACCTTCACACTTTTTCCTCCCTTTTTTTCTAGGAGGCTCCTATTTTTACAGAATTAAGCAGAGAAAATGACGAAGAAAAAGGTAGTTTTACTTTTTTTTTTTTCTTCTTTTAACATGGATGCTTTTGTATAGGCCCTGCCCAAAACTAGCAACATGTTTGGGAGCAAGGCTTGCCATGTGCCTGGATGGCATTGTTCTCCCCCATCTATGAAAAGGCAGTAACCGTGAACCGGATAGGACGCCTTCACTGCAAGTAACAAAAGGGACCCAAGTGGGCCTAAGTAGTAAGGAGGTACCTCTCTGTAACAAGGGTCCCCGTGGTAAGGTGGGTCAGCAGCTGGACATGAGGTGGCCGCGGGCACTCCCGGCTTTGTTCAGAGGATGATGGCGAGCATCTCTTCCTGACGCCCCTGGGACACACCCCTCCGGCCAGCAGACTTCCTTTTGAATGTCACTGGCCAGTCCCTATGAGCCTCCACCTCACAGACAGTCGCTGGGAAAGGAAGAGGGACGATTCTGATTGTTTGGAGCAGAGGAACCTTACTCACCCCTCCCCGAGGCCCCCCACCTTCTAATCCCATCACTGTGCACATTAGGTTTCCAACATACGGATTTGGGGGGTACAGACATTCAGCCCCAGCATCCTCCAAGCCACGTGTGAGAAGTATGAACACCTAACCCAAATTGGAGTCCTGTCCCCTTAGCAGGGCAGAGGGGACAGTGGAGGTGGGGGGCAGCCAGGCAGTCTCTCCTAGCTCGGAGCGTCTGCCCGACGTGCTCCTCTGCAGTTATCACTTCTGGACAAGAGCGTGGCTGCTCTCGTTTATTCCGATTGCCCGTGAACTTCTGTGTGCATACACGGTGGCGTTGTATCTGATGTTTTATAATTTTCCGGGAAAACATAATACATATATAAATGAAGTGTATGTATATATGAGATGAAATACCCGCGTAGAAAATGCATCACTGTTTTTTCTTCCAGTTACGTTCAATTTGAATAAAGGAGCGTGTAGTTCAGCCGCAGCGTCGTCCAAGTCAAGGTGAGCTACACGAACAGGTGACTTAGAACCTGGGGCTTTTCGTGAGATGTTGATCACTGCATTTTAAAAGCTGCAATATGTGTGTGTGTGTGTGTGTGTGTGTGTGTGTGTTTCTGGTGGTAATTTTCTTCTCTTTTGTTTTTGTTTGATGGTTGTCGTGTTTCTCAGCAACTGTTTTTTTCCTTATTTGCCTATGATGATATGATTCTGTCTTTTGATATGATTCACATGCTTCCCGTGACCAATCTTTGTCTCTCTGTGAGTCCTTCTCCACCTAATGGTTCCCTCTGTGCTCCCCACGGTGCTGTTTGTTTTTCTCTCGGAGCCCACTGACCAAGTTAAGATTAGCTGGGGTACAGGTTTTGTCCTGTGTACTCTGTTAGGATCTTGTGAGAGCAGAGACGAGGTCATTCCGCTGACTTCTCGGCCCCCGGTACAGGGTAAATGCCCTGGCCTGCACTCAGTGGTCACTGCCTTCCCTGCGACACGAGGTAGTAACACAATGGGGCTTGCCAGGCAGTGAAAGGCCCTGTAGTAAGTATTTTAGACGTTATTGGCCCTATATCTTTGTCACAACCACTTAGCCGCTGCCAGAGCGAGAAAGCAGCCAGAGACAATATGCAAACAAATGAACGTGGCTGCATTCCAGTAAAATCTTATTTATAAACACAGGCAGCAGGCCACCATTTGCCTCTTAGGTTGTAGTTTGCCAAATCCTTGCATAGCATGTTGTCAGGTACTTCTGCTCACTTTTCACGTTCTCTTCTCTTGCAGTTCTTACACGTTCTTCCACCAAGTATTTGCCCACTATCTGTGATGTGCAGTTTGGTTATGGAGATTAAAAAAACAAAGTAAAACAAGATATTCACGAAGGTACCTCCTCCTGGTACCTTCCCCTTATCTACCAGAAATTAGTTTTGAGTTGGCCAATACTTGTTATTTTACTTAGTATCTTACATATTGTTTATTTAAGACTTGACTCAGGTTTTCTGGTTAATTTATAGGTGAGCGTTTATTTACACGAGGAAGTAAGTGGTGAGGAGAATTGAAGGAAATAGACTGAGTGGCCACGTATTCCTGCTTCAGGCCACTGAAGACCTCCTGGCCAGAGGTCTTCACTTTGGGTGAAAGATTTCAGAATTGAGAGCCATGTTAGAGACCATGAAGAAAGCGGTCAGTTGGGTTCTACATCTGGTTCAGTTGAAAATTATTTTCAGACTATTTGTGACAGGACCTGAAGGACAGGTTTAAATGTGTCAAGTCCCACATGCCTCCTGGGTTTAGACCCGTACGTGTTTCTCTCCATTCTCCCTCATTATCTGTTATTCCCAAGTGTAGGTAGAGGTTAAGCCTGGTCCCAGTGGCCCCCAAACCGGTCTCCCTCGTATTAGTTTCCTGTGGCTGCTGTAACAAACTACCATAGACCAAGTGTCCTGAAACAATGGAAGTTAATCTGCTTCCGGACACCAGGAGTGTGAACTCAGAGCGAGCGGGCCGAGCTCGAGCTGGTGCGGCCGGTGCTTCCTCCACAGGCTCTGCCCGGGGGTCCGTGCTTTGCCTCTCGTGGCTCCTGCTGGCCGCTGGCGCCCCTCGGCTGGGGGCTGCGTCCTGCAGTTTTCAAGAGCAGCGTCGTCACGTTTCCCTTTGCTCCCTCTTCACATCACCTGCTCCGCGTGTCGGGTCTGCCGTCTCCCTCTCGAAAGGATCCGTGCGGTTGCAGATAGAGCCCGTTTGGGCGGCCTTGGGCCACCTCACCTCGGAATCTATACCCTAATCTCGTTTGCAAGCACCCTTTTCCCGGCAAGGTCGCATTTATCAGCTCCGCGGACGAGGGCGGGTTATCTCTGGGGTCTGCCGCTTGGCCTCCTGTGCCCGATGCCAGGCTCGGCTGTCATTGGTAAAAATAGTTTTACTCGACCAAGTTCTGTGTGTTCAGTCTCAATTATGTGTAATAATGTGAAAATAGCATCACAGGTAATACAATGTTAAGACTCATCTAATTTTCTTTTTCTGAGATTATGGCCCACTTTTATAGAGGTTGGGATCTATTTTCCTGTTGATTTATATCTCTTGTGTGTCTAAAGCTCGGAATGTGCAATGATCTCAATAGCAAACATGGAGGTTTCAGGCTCTGCTGAGGCAGACAAAAGCCCTGCTCCTCCCGGGCTGTTTTTGCTTTTTTTTTTAAATGTTTATTTGTGAGAGAGAGACAGAGCATGAGCAGGGGAAGGGCAGAGAGAGGGAGACAGAGAATCAGAAGCAGGTTCCAGGCTCTGAGCTGTCAGCACAGAGCCTGATGTGGGGCTCAGACCCACGAACCGCGAGACCATGACCTGAGCCGAAGTCAGACGCTTAACTGACTGAGCCACACAGGCGCCCCTGCTCCTCCCGGGTTTGAACACAGGTTACTCAGTTCCCGTTTCTGTTTTGGGGCTTCTCTTCTTTCTCTTTTTTAATTGCGCTAGTTATTACTAACTGACAGCAGAATTCTAGGGCTGTTCTAGAAGCGATCATTCCATCTGCAATCTCTTACTGTTCATTCCTTGCCTTGATTTTAGCCCCATCTTGACCATCTCAGTTTGTCACCTTTTACTAGAACCTTTCTGGGGGAGGAGGGGGGCTATTGAGAGAGCAGCTAGTGGGAAGGTTGAATGTAGTGCAGCTGGAAAACATGGTCTCTCGCATTTCACCTCACCGTTCACTATTGAGATTGATATTGAATTTCCAACGCTTCTGGCGATGTTAAATTCTTAAAATGATTTATATAGGTATTCTTTCTTGATTCTAAATAGTATTTTTACGATAGGGATTATCACTTCTTTGAAAGCGTGGTAAAACTTGGTAAAATACTGTGCTGGGGTCTGCAGGCGAGGCAATACCTTTTACTACTGATTCAGTTTCGTTCCAGACCTTAGTTTATTCAACTTTGCAATATAATCTTGATTGTACGAATTTCAATAATGTGTACCATTTTTATTTTTCTAGAATATCCTTTTTAGTTAGGCTCTCAAATTTACTACCTATTTCATTATTCTTTTAAAATACTAACTTTTTGGGGTGCTTGGGTGGCTCTGTCAGTTAAGTATTCAACTCGATTTCTGCTCAGGTCACTATCTCAGTTTGTGAGATCACGCCCCTGCACGTTGGCTTGGGCTTTGGATTCTCTCTCTCTCTTCCTTTCTAATGCTCTCCCATTCACCTGTGTGCTTTCTCTTTCAAAATAAATAAACGTTAAAAATACTAACTTTTTGGGGCGCCTGGGTGGCTTAGTCGGTTAAGCGTCCGACTTTCGCTTAGGTCATGATCTCGCGGTTCGTGGGTTCGAGCCCCGCGTCGGGCTCTGTGCTGACTGCCAGCTCAGAGCCTGGAGCCTGTTTCAGTCTGTGACTCCCTCTCTCTCTGACCCTCCCCTGCTCACACTGTCTCTCTCTCTCCTAGAAATAAATAAAACATTAAAAAAAAATTAAAAAAAATAAAAAAATAAAAAAAAATACTAACTTTTTATTTTCTTGATAATATAACCCCCCTGGTTTCTGTGTTGGTGATTTCTGTCCTTCATAGTATCTTCCATCTGCATTTCTTAAATTCTCCACCATTCATTTTAGCTCTAATAGAATCTTGATATTGCAAGTGGAAGGTTCTAAATGTCAAGCCCTGCCGTGTCTTTCTCTCTCGTTTTTAAATAAACGATTAACTTTTGTTTTAGAAAGAGAGAGGACATGAGTGGGAGAGAAGGGGAAAGGGGGAGAGAGAGAATCTTTTTTTTAAAGTTTATTTCTTTTGAGAGAGAGACAGAGTGGGCAGAGGAGGGGCAGTGAGAGAGGGAGAGAGAGAATCCCACCTCACTGCCAGTGCAGAGCCCAACACGGGGCTTAAGCCTACGTACAGTGACATCATGATCTGAACCAAAATCAAGAGTCAGATGCTTAACTCACTAGGCCACGCCGGTGCCCCAGAGAATCTTCAACAGGCTCCATGCCCGGTGTGGAGCGTAATGCAGGGCTCGATCCCGTGACCCTGGGTTCACGACCTGAGCCAAAATCAAGAGTTGGACATTTAGGGCACTGGGGTGGCTCAGGTCATGATCTCGTGGTTTGTAGGTTCGAGCCCCACATCGGGCTCTGTGCTGACAGCTCAGAACCTGGAGCCTGCTTCGGATTCTGTGTCTCCCTCTCTCTCTGTCCCTCCCCTGCTCATGCTCTCTCTCTCTCTCTCTCTCAAAAATAAAGATTTTTTAAAAAATTAAGAGAGTTGGACACTTAACTGACTGAGCCACCCAGGTGCCCCTTTCTCTTATTAAAGACTCAGTGTCTCTGGTCCTCACCCGTGAGATAACTTGTCACTTTCTTCCATGCTGCCTTGTGGCCTCCGTGATCTGGTGCGTCTCCCGCACTGTGTGCGCCGTCCCCGACGAGCAGCGCTGGCTCTGCCTTTCTTGCCTCCGCGTCTGCTGTCTGATCACCTTTTTATCCCCACCGCTCGTCACCTTGTAGACATCTAATAATGCCAAATCAATGTTCCTGAAAGAAAACTTGTTTTTCTGTTCAGTTCAGGTGTTTGTGGGTGAAATACACATAACGCGAAGCTAGCCGTTTTGGCCATTTGTAGGTGCACAGGTCAGGGCGGGAAGTAGACTCACGTTGTATCCGTGGCCAGCCTCCATCCGCAGCACTTTGTCTGCCTCCCAAACCGCAGCTCTACCCATTAGACTGTAGCTCCCATTTCCCGCCACCCCACCAGCCCCTGGTGACCTCTGCCCTACTTCCGTCTCTGTGGACGTGACTGTTCTAATCTCCTCATATGAGTGGGATCATAGGGGTTGTCTTCTGTGACGGGCTTCTTTCACTTTAACACCCTCCGGGTTCATCCACGTTGTGGTTAGGTGTCGGAATTCCCTTCCTTTTTAAGGCTGAATGCTGTCCCACTGTACGTACAGAACACATTCTGTCCATCTCTTCATCGTCATGGACATTTGAGTTACTCCCACCTTTTGGCGATCGCAAATAATGCCGTTCTGCACACTGGAGTCCAGATATCTGTTCGAGGCCCCGCTTTCAGTCCTTTGGGTATAGACGCAGAAGCGGGCACGCTGGGCTGGATGAGAGCGCTGCCTCGCCGTTTCCCACAGCCGTTGCACCGGAGTGAGTGCTTGTTCCAACAGCACTGAGTCCGCGTGCTCCACGTCCTCCCCATCACCTCTCTTCTCGGCAGTTTTCTTACACGAGCCATCCGAATAGGGGTGAAGTGGGGCCGCATCATGCTTTAGATTTAAGTGTCCCTCATGGTTAGTGATGTTAAGCATCTTCTCATGGGCTTTTTGGCCATGTATATGTCTTCTTTGGAAAAAATATCTTTTGCTTATTTATTAAAAGAATTGTTTGTTTTTTAGGCAGCTTAGTTTTAAGAAGAGTATCTCAAGATTCCAAGTTGAGATGAATACCAGAACACTGAATTAATGTATCAGTGTATTTGAGGACTCAGTATTGATAAAATGTGGGGAATTACGGAGAATGAAAAGAGTCAGAAAGCAAAAAAATAAGTACTGATTATAGTAGGAAATAGGTGGTTTGTACACATATAATCACTAGACCCCCAAGTACCCACTTAAACCTCATTCCCCTTTTGCTGGGTTTTTCAGCGCCTCTTATATAGGCATATTGTGGTTGATTGTGATCTGGATTTAGTGCTAAGTTTGGTGGATTTCTACCAGGAAGTACTTTTAAACCTAAAGAAACTTCCTTGTTTAATTTTTAAAATATTTATTTATTTTGAGAGAGAGCACGATCAGGGGAGGGGCAGAGAGAGAGGGCCACTGTCACAAACACTGAGATCATTACCTGAGCTGAAACCAAGAGTCAGACGCTTAAACAGCTGAGCTACCGGGTGCCCCTAAAGAACCTTTCTTTAAGCATCAAACTGAAGAGTTTATCTTTATATGGACTTAATCTGTTCCGAACCAAATGGATATTGTTTACGATTGTCACAGCCCTGAGAGATTTGTCAGGTAACAGAATGAGGACTTAGAAGTATATTCAGAGAATTGAATTATGGGACAAAACCCAGGAAGTGACATTTCAAAAGGATAAATGTAAAACCTTACAGTTACGGAAAGAGAGAACATGAGTTTCCATGGAGGTCGAGTTGGGGAGTCCTGAATCGCGGTGCCCTGTATGGAAGAGAAGTAGGGATCGTAGTTGATGCCAAGCTCAGCGGGAATCCTGAGAGTAACCTGGCTGCCACTAAGTCTAGTGAGATCTTTAAATGCCTTAGAAAAAAGTCCAAATAATAATTCCATTGTTTTTCTGTTAATCACACTTTTCTCTTGGTTACCTCTATAGTAGCTTCATGCACGTATTTTCCTTTTTTCGTCTTTTGCAAATATGACACAGTAAATGATTACACTGATGAGATTCGTTTAGTCGCAAATATTAATTGAGCATGTATTTTATGTGAGTCACTAGACAGTTACTGCTACTTTACAGGGAAAAAAATCAGTATATACAAGCATATACACATGATTACATGTACGAATCATATATGCAAATGATTATAATATAAAGTAGAGTGTGGTCTGTGCCACAGAGTGCTAGGGCACTCAGACAATAGCAGGATCCAAGAAGCCTCATGAAGAAAGGATCTTAAGAGAATTGGGGCAAATGGAGATAAATTGTAAATCTGCAAAGGCATGAAACACAGCGTGGGTCCATTGCTAACGAGTCATTCAGAATGGCTAGTCTTGGGCCACTGGTGACAATTTTATATTGCACTGAAAAATTTAGAATTTACATAGTCCATTCTGGGCAGTTAGGAGCAATCAAAAATTCAGCAACACGTTGAAATCTTTGCTTTAAAAAAATAGAACTGGCAGTAATATGCGCAACTTGTTTACATTCACCTTGTTTAATCCTTGCGGTTGAGCTATGAGTTGGGTCACATTTGTCTCCTCATTTGTAGATGAGGACCTGAGGCGTAGCAGAGTTAATCGTCGGTCAGAAGCAGAAGTCTCCTTAACCCCTGATCTGTCCAGCCCCAAAGCCATGCTGTCACCACTGCAGTGCTGATCACGGTTGGCACCGAGAGAAGGGGTGAAGGGGAGGAGGGCGCTACGGCAGGAGAGGGTCCGTGTTCCCGTGCCTACAGTCCCATCAGGCATGAACACAGGTCCTTTACTGTTTTGACTAATCTGTTGTAAGCGGATCGCGTGGCAAATTTCTTCCGCATGTTAGTAAGCCTTCTGTGCAGAGTGTTTGTTACCAGGCTCGGCTCTTCTCTTTACCAGTTCCTTGGGACCCAGCGCGCTGAAGACCGTCGGCAATGCAGCATCGGCGAAGCGAAAAGAATCTTCCCAGAGCTCAGCTCAATCGAAAGAAAAGAAAAAAAAGAAATCTGCACTCGATGAAATCATGGAGGTACAGTTTACCAGCTGTGTGCTGACTTTTTAGCAGTTAGAAGAATAACATAGTTCAGACTGAGGAAAGTTAAGTAGTTTTGCCAATTCTTAGATTAATAAAAGTTAAAAAAGCGTATATAGACTGGATCGGGGGAAGGGGTCTAGATGCTGTTCCATCTGAGCAGAGTCGGAAATCCCTCATCAGCGTTTCTTTTCTCGCCTCAGTCCCGGCTTCAGAACTCTCCATGTGTTCACGGTCAGCAGGGCTCACGTAGTTGGCAGTAGTTGAGGCTAGGAAGGAGGAGCTCTGTGTACTGTCCGTGGCTCTGTGAGATCGGCCCGCGCCACGGATGCCCTCCCGCACCCTGCGCTGCCGCCGCCCTTGACTCCATTGCCCGTCCCTGCCGGCACGAGGAAGCCATGGCGTGCTTCCTGTGTGACTCAGCCTGATGCCAAACCTGTGTGGCGAATCATTGAAAACCTGTGATTTAGGCCCCGGGGCCAGACTTTGGCTCCAGATCTACCTGCAACTCTAGAGCGGTGCTGCAGGAGGCTGTTAGAGTCTCCCTAAATCTTCCTTTCTCCCCGCCGCACGCTCATCAATCAATGTATGGACTACACAGTAGAGGAGGAGAGGGGCGGTGAAGAGAAGGGAGAAATGGATACAGGAAGCTAACCGTTTTTCCCCTATAATATCGTTTCCTCCAGTCTCCCCAAACCCTCCTCTTCATTTGTGAAGGGTGGGGTGGGGGCATTCGGTCTTCCCCATCCCCGGGCGCTCCTGCCGTGTAGGCCCGTCTCAGAAGTTGAGAGTGTAATGGGCAAGGTGCGCACCAGGAGGTACGGTCCCTCGGTCACGGAGCAGACACTGAGTTGCCGTTACATGCTGGGCATCGTGCCCAGTCCTGTGTCTGTATAGTAGGAAGAAAAATGCAGTCCCTGTGTGTCATGGGGCTTTCGTTCTAGTAAGAGGGACGTCCCGTGAACAAGTGAGCCAGTGAGTAAGTCACTACAAAATGCTAAGTGCTAAGGAGGGCAGAGGGCAGCCTGGGGGGTCGCTTGTGAGAAGGTGCTAGGGCAGGAAAGATCTCAAACTCAGGCCCACGCAGGAAGGTCCACGCAGCTGGAGCGTGATGAGTGCAAGAGTGGAAGCATTTGAGGTTCAAGAGTGAAGTAGGAGCAACATCTTAGATGTCTTAACAAGCCGTGGCGGAGTTTCTGAATTTAATTCAAAGCCAAATGGAAAGCTAGACCCACCTGCTTTGTGAAACACACTACATTTAGAATGCTCTTTGCTCACATTGGAAAGTTGGGAGAAATTAAAATGAGACTTATTCTCAACCAAAGAATTGCAGTGTTCTGGCCCATTGAAGGTTGGTACTTCGGGTCAAGGCAGCCGTGAAAGGAGGAGGCGTGTTACGGCACCACAGCCGCCGGAGAGCAGTCTTTTCCTGGACGCCCCTTTGCGTCCATCTCTCCTGGGTGTGTTTTTCTTCCCTTACACTCACAGGATTTATTATCCTTAGCAAACAGAGAAGCCCCTTCTTGCCGTCAGACTGTAGAAATACCCATGCTGTGCAAAACTGGTATTAAGTGTGTACTAAGGTGTTTTGTTTTTTTTTAACGTTTCTTTATTTTGAGAGAGAGCATGAGCAGGGGAGGGGCAAAGAGAGAGGAGGGAGAGAATCTCAAACAGGCTCCAGACTGTCAGTACAGAGCTGGACACGGGGCTCGATCCCACGAATCATGACCTGAGCCGAAATCATGGGTCGGACGCTTAACCGTCTGGGCCACCCAGGCGCTCCATGTTATGGTTTTACCACATGAAAACATTGCTTGTTTCCCAGCTCATGACAGTCACGTGGGGGAAGCGGGGAGGGCGCAGTATAGCACTGGCAGGTGGCCTAGCAGTGCTGACCGAAGTCGAGGCCGCTTGTGTTTGTTTTCTTGGTCAGCTGACTTGCTTTAGCACATATTGTCAAACCAAGCGTGTTTGTTTTTTTAAAAGATTTTATTTTTAAGTAATCTCCACACCCACCATGGGTCTCAAACCCATAACCCTGAGATCAAGAGTCACCCGCTCCACAATCTAAACCAGCCAGGCGTCCCTGCAAATGTTTTTTTCTAAATCAAAAATGAATCGCAAAAAAAGGTTTATTTGTATTTGCCAGAGCTCGTAAGTTACACGCCACCCCTTGGAGGTATATGTTCTCTGGTATTCTTTTGTGAAGTAGAATGGTATCTGAAATAAATGGAGAATTTTAATGAGAGAGCTCAGGATGTCTTCTCTGTTCTACAGCTCGAGGAAGAAAGGAAAAGGAGCACCCGAACAGACTACTGGCTGCAGCCGGTATGTATTCACCTGGGTCTCCAAACGCCTTCGAAGGGAGTGAATGATGTACAGAGCATTTGGTATGAATGACTAAGTTTCTCAAACATACTTAAATTCTATGGACAGATATATAACTTTCAGGTCTTTCTTTTCATCTGATCTTAAATAATCAGTTACACCTGTAGTAGAGCATAATTTCACGTTCATAGGCTTGTAAGATTCCTTGAGTTTGATGCCATATTTGTTTGTGGACGTTTTGAATTTAACCCTGGAATTATTTCCAGGGTTGTGTTCTCAGAAACGGGACTGAGATTAGAATTGTGAAAGCAGAAGTATTTGTTTTCAATTTGCAGCTTTTTGAACTTGGCATGTCCCTTTAGGTACTTTTGGATGACCATTTATGAAAATGTAATCAAGAATTTTGCTGAGAGGTACCTGGCTGGCTCTGTTGGTGAAGTGAGCCACTCTTGATTTCAGCTCAGGTCATGATCTCAGAGTCGTGGGATGGAGCCCCGAGTCGGGCTCCACACTGGGCATGGAGCCTGCTTCATGGTCTCTCCCCTTCCCCTGCCCACTCACGTCCTCTCTCTCTCTCTCTCGCTCTCTCTCAAAAAAGAAGGAAGAAAAACAATTTTTTTTCTGAAAGCAATTATTCTTACCCAGAGAGTAATTCACAAATCTTCAGAGAAGTGTTTTTTTACAAACTACGTATGTTTTACTGCTTCCAGCATCCTGTGTCTGGGGGTGAAATGTACATTTTCACCAGTCTCCTGGGTGATTCTGATGGATGCCTGTATGCCCTTCGTTAAGAACCATTGGTTTAAAGGAAATATAAAAGAAACCAAAAGCAAAAAAAAAGAAAAAGACAATGCTTTAGTTAGTCCAAAAATTCTCTTCCCATTGATAATACTTTCATTTCAATTATATTTTCTGTTAGAGAATTCTCTCACAATAAAGTATTCAAATTCTCTTCCTACTTCCGCTTGCAGAGTGTTCCATTGAAAGGATCAGCCAGAAGGGACTCAGTGTGTCTTGTAGGTTGAAATGGGCAGTGTGTTTGGTAAAATAACTAGCAGTCCCCAGAGAGATACTGAAGAAGTATTTTGAACTGATCTATTGTGTGAGCAAGTGTCAGTAAGCCCAGCGACATAATGAGTTCGCTTCAGATTCCGAGTGTGTATCCATGAGGGCCTTCAAGAAACTGAAGCAGCAATACTCTGACTAAATCAGGGAAGCTCTTTTGGCATCATTTGGCTTCAATGAAAGTTTGAAGTTTGAAGAAAATTTTAGACCATTCATGTTTTCTCTTAAGCATGTTTCTCTACAATTCCATACCCTACCCCCAAAGTCCTCACTGAATTTTGATTGGTATAATTTTTGGCCTGGCTTAGTGAAGTACTTGTGCCCATCTAGTACCTCCGTTATATGCACTTGGAGTAGCAAATATAGAATCACTCTAGTGACTACAGCATTAAGTTAGGCAATTTATTTTTCACAGTCAGCCATTAGACAGCTAATATAATTCAGCAAAATGATGGTGAGGAAGCAAACCCAGAATGCATGAATATGAAATAAGCCCAGATTTCTCTCCCATTTGAGAGTTAGATGTTCAGAAGAACGATACTTTTAGCTGGAGCTAATCTGGAAGAATCCTGTGTGTATCAAAAACTCAGAGTAACATAATGAGAAAAGAACATTGTGGAAGAATGTCATGCGTAAGCTCAAAGATGCAGATCCCAGTGAGACTTGCCATTTGAGTTTCTGTCAGCACTGACCCCCAATAGTGTAAGATCTGTGGCACTTTTCACTCCCTTGAATGAAGAGAAAGAAAGCAGGTCTCTGGGAAAGACATGGATTGATAGGGCTGAGATTGACAGATTTCAAGTGACGGTCCTAGATTTCAAGTGACCTTCAGTGTGGAAATACCTTGAGACAGGTATTTTTTTCCTCTTGGTTAACCGTACCGAATAAAGGGAGAAAGAAGGAATAAAAGATCACAAACGGAATGTTTGGCCATAATTGGAAAGGCTTTGAACTCCAGTTTTTCCTTAGTAGAGCAGATACACTTTGCTATGATTTTTGGCGAAAACATGGTTTCAATGAAGGAGTAAAACAGAAAAGATCACTTATGTCTTTCATTCTTTATTTGTTGTTGTTTTCTAGGAAATCGTTGTGAAAATTATAACCAAAAAACTCGGAGAGAAATACCATAAGAAAAAGGGTGTTGTGAAGGTAAGGATGTGAGGCTGTGAATGGACTTTGTGAAACTGAGTGAAGCCTTTTTGGCATTCCTGAAAGGGCAAGTCCTCAGGGCAGAAGCTTGGTGTCTGGGGTTCTTGATGGTCCTGTCAAAGGAGAACTGACCTCATAACTGGTGGAAAAGTGATTCCTTTGCAGCCGTAACTTACATTTAAGCTTGGCAGTGCTTTCGTACCGCAGGGAACAGTGTGTACGAAGCCTCGCGGCTACTGCTTTAACTCATCCACGGTGCAGCCCCTGCCAATCTGTGTGATGCATCCTCGGGTAACAATGGGCGATAGCTATGCTTATGTACCCAGACTTCCAAGGGTGGCTCCCTTGTGTTTTGCCTGGGAGACCTTCAGCTGCTCTGGGATTTTAAAATGTGAACAGGAGCGCTCCAGCCCTCCTCTCTCTTCCATCCCTAAATAGAGCTCCGTCCTGGCACCCAGCATCACGCACTGTAAGCGCCCTGCAGTCGTGCTGGAGGCCGGCCTCGTCCCTCTCGACGTGTGTATCCAAGTCTTGTTCCACAATCAGCACCCAGTCTTTTATTCTTTACAGACGGAAACCCCCACTAGGCTTTGAACTGAATTCTTTATTAGGAAGCACAGAACCACTACTGTACACCTGAAACTGATACATAGAACTGTGTGTCAGATAGACTGGAACTAAAATAGAAAACGTAATGCAATTTAAAAAAATTTAAAGGAAGCCGAGGAGAATTCATATACAACATCTATAAAGTATTGTCAGTTATAGAAGGAGCTCGTCTTCCCATTTGACTGGAATTTTGTTTGTTTTCATCTTACCTATTTCTGTCCTTTGAAATTCGTGTTCACGCATTTCCGCCGTTATAAAAGTGTTGATTTCACATGACAGGAAGTGATTGACAAATACACAGCTGTCGTAAAGATGATCGACTCCGGAGACAAGCTGAAACTTGACCAGACTCATTTAGAAACCGTAATTCCAGCACCAGGTAAATCTTTCTGCGGAATATTTAACACGTATGCTGTTGTGATGAGCGATTCCATCCCTAAAGCCACAGTTTTCTGACATTACTTGATAGTTGTAGATGCGGCTTTCCTTTTTAGAAACACACAGCTGCCAGTGTACCAGACGCTCTTGATCTCAGGTGACACAGTGGTTTGCTTACCAGTCCTCTGCGAAAGCACTCTTGTGGCATGGGTAAATTTTCCCTTCCTAGAATCCTTGTTTTTCCGGACGCAAAACACAAACTCATAGGGAAAAGAAGTCAGTCAGACTCAGGTTATTATTAATATATCTCTTTGGCTACCCGAGATAGTAAAGTAAAAAGTCTCCACTGTTTGGCTTTTTCTCTCCCTTAGTTGTCTTTATCACTTGGGCAGTTACGACGTCTCGTATGGGTGCTGCTTGGGTTGGGCTGCCTGCCTCGGCCCCGCCCTCCGTAGTGGTCAGTGCTGACGCAGTGACCACGTTAGCCCCTAACCTGCCTCTTATCAGGTCCCTTCTTCTCTCCCCCGAAAATAAAACTCATTTTGTGGTTGAAAAAAACGTTTTTTTCAGCTTTGATGAGATGTAATTGACATACAATATATTGCACTTGTGTAAAGTATACAATTTGATCAGTTTTAAGACACGAATACCCTGAAACCATCCCTACAATCAAGGTGACGAATGTGTCCATCCCCCGCCCTGCAATATCCTCACTCCCCTTTATAATCCTTCCCTGCCACCCCCCACTGCTGCCTCGCATGTCCCCAAGGCAACCACCTTTCTGCTCTCCGTCACTGTAGGTTAGTTTGTGTCTGTCTAGAATTTTGTAATAAAATCATACTTGTGTGCTGTGTTTTTGCTCTGGATCTTTCAGTGCATGTGACTCTTGCCTGTTGTCACATGTATATGTCCGTAGCTCCCTTCTCTCCGTTGCCGAGTAGCGTTTCCCCTTATGGATATGCGTCTTCTTGTCCGTTCAGTCACCCGCTGATGGACATTTGGCTTATTTACAGTTTGGAGCTGTTGCAAATAGAATTTTTCAAGAACATTCATATGCAAGTCCTTATACAGACGTATGGTTTCCCTTCTATTGAGGAGATATTGAAGATACTTAGAAATTGAATGCCCCTTCATAGTAGGATATATCTCAATTTTTATGAGACTGTCAGACCATCTTGTAATTTTAAGAAGAGTGAAAGCAATCTACATTTTTTTCTAAGTACTTCTGGACTCTGGACATTTTCCCTCCTACTCCTCGCAGACTAAAGTTAAAACATCTGTCTGACAAGTGAAAAAAAACATGAGGAGTCTTATAATGTGACAGGGATCTACAAACTATACTTTAGAATATTGCAGGGTCTGAAACAATTATAGACTTCTCAGAGGGATTTTGGGTTTTGTTCTGTTCATTCACTGTAATTGCATTTTGCTGTGACAAAGTAGAAGAAAGAAGCAAACATTTCTTTGAGTTCAGTGTTCTATTCTGTTGTAGGAAAAAGAATTCTCGTTTTAAATGGAGGCTATAGAGGAAATGAAGGTACCTTAGAATCCATCAATGAGAAGACCTTTTCAGCTACTATCGTCATTGAAACGGTAAATATGTTTCCACAGAGAAACGTGTAAATGCTTTAAAAATGTGCCTTAGTTTTTTTTCATTGGGTTGGTCTTTGTTTTAGAGTTTGGGTTTTTGGTCTGTCTTCTTTCCTGTTCAGAAATCTGTAAGCTTAGTTTTTCTAACTCTGCCCTTGCTGATTTTCTGATTTCAAAAGAAATGTATATGTGGCCTAGTCCCCTGGAGCTGGTATCACAGAACATACAGTAGGTTGGATGGCTGATAAGCACATTGTTTCGGCCATTCTGAAGGCTGGAAGTCCAAGGATAAGGCACTGGCAGACTTAGTGTCTGGTGAGGGCCCGCTTCCTGGTTCGTGTGTCCTCCTGTGGTGGAAGGGACAAAGCTCTCTGGGGTCTTCTTTACAAGGGCACTAACCCTTTCCTGAGGGCCCACCCCCATGACCTAATCACTACCCAAAGGCTGCCCACCAAATACCATCCATTGGGCGTTAGGTCACAACTACGAACTCCGGGTGGGACACACTCAGTCTGTAGCAACACTCATTGTGTAAGAACTGAAAAAGACAATTTAATATAAATAACTTCAGAAATTACCCATAATTCTCCAGCCAGATAACTCCCATTAATATTTTGGCCTGTTCCTTTCCAGTCTTTGTATTTTATAAAATTGTATATACAACATCTTGACTTTTTCTCTCACATCCAGTATGAAACTCAGTTGGACATATGATTAGCGGGGAGTATAGAATCAGAATTAAAGAGGGGAGTGCCCCAGAGATCACTATTTTACATAGTCCTTCCTCTCTTTCATAAAGAAAAGGCAGTAAATTAAAAGGTGTACAGGTAAGGTTGTTGATTGAAGTAGTCTGGATGGCTCTCTGACAGTCTGTGGTGCAGCCCCGTGGGGCCTCAGACGTCCCCTGAGGGAAGGCAGGGCCTGAAACGGGCTTTGCCCTCGCCGCCGGATGCGTTTTGGAACTCTGAGCGGCGGTGCAGTGGCTCTCCAAGTGAAACCCATTGTCATACCCCGTGCAGTAAGCGTCAGCATTTGGGGGGTAGGAGACCCCGTGGAGAGTCTGATGACTGTCCTGAGCACCCCCCAGGACTTGGGGGCCCACTGCCCACTCTCATGTGTTGCCTGAAGGGGGTCGCAGGCACCTGGACCCATCCCTGGACTGCCTTCCAGAAAATTCATGTGGGTCCTTATTTGAGAGAAACCATATTTAAGTAAATTGACCACTTTTTTCCTGTCTCTGACAACACGAATTCAGCAACTGTCACTAATGCAAACTAGAAGGGAAGAAAAGGAACAGGAATCTCTCTGTTACTGAGAAAGTTATTGATCTGACTAAATTAAAGAATTTTTTTTTTTTAAACTCAGTTTTTCTCTCTGACCCAGGCGGCATCCAGGTCACGGAAAACTAGCATTTCCTTTGCAAAATGATTCTCCTGCACTTTTTAAATTCACAGTACCATCCAACTTAGATCCCGCCTCAACTCGTGTTTTCGTCTCAGGGAAACGCAAAACCACTAATTAGCACTAAGGGGTTTCTGGGTTCCATCCAGATACCTTCGGGTATTAGTCTGTGGTTTTCCGGGTTCATTTCTTCCTCCCTCGCCGTGCCCCCCTGGGGCTTCTGAGCTTGCGTGGCTCAGACAGCTGTGCTGAGGCAGGGCCCAGGAGGGCGTCCGCAGAAGGGGCCTGGCTGGCTGCCGGGCAGCATGTACTTGTAAAAGAGGAAACCCACCTGCTATTATTCTTTCTTTTGTAGCCCGCCCCTCCCCCCATTTAAAAAGAATCTGTGTTTGTGTGTATGCATGTGTGCACTCGTCTCCATCCACACAATCGCTTCAAGTCATTGCCACGAAAAACACAAACTTCCCAGGTGATTTCTCCTGCTTTTTTATCTCTTCTGACATCTTAGATTACAGCATCATTATCAAAGTATTTGAAATTTATTCATTTCTTCTTTTTTTTATTTTTATTTATTTCTAGGAGAGAGGGAGACAGTGTGAGCAGGGGAGGGTCAGAGAGAGAGGGAGATACAGACTCTGAAACAGGCTCCAGGCTCCGAGCTGGCAGTCAGCACAGAGCCCGACGCGGGGCCCGAACCCATGAACCGCGAGATCATGACCTAAGCGAAAGTCGGACGCTTAACCGACTAAGCCACCCAGGCGCCCCAAAATTTATTCATTTCTTAAGCAGATTTTTAAATAGCTAACAAATTGTTCAGAAACAGTCTCAGCCTTTTCACCCAGCTGTTCGACTGATTGACCACATGAGTGGCTCCCTTCTTCGTCCCCGATTTTGTGTTCTTCTCTTAAAAGCCTCTTTGACCCTGGGCCTTTACATTTGGTAACGAAAGAGGCAGCCTGAGTCATGCTTTATCTGGGAACTTACTTTCTTTAACTACAGTCGTTATCATATATTAAAAGAGTAGCGTTGTTACAGGAAGGTATGATTCTTAACAAACAACGTTAAAATCTCACTTCAAGGTTAGAGTCAATATCATCATCATCATTTTATATTTTGCAAGAGAGGACCAGCTTTCAAATTTTAACCAAAAGATTTAATAATAAGAGGGGAAAATTATTGAGCTCATACTCATATGATGTTCCAGATGTTGCTCTAAGCACTTTATTTACTCATTTCTATTTCCCAACAGCCCAGTAACCTCAGTACTATTATTATTCCCCTCAGGGGACAGTGGGCGCTGAAGGGTTAAGTCACTTGCCGAAGGTGGGACTTGAAGTTGGGCGATTTGGGCCCTGGGCTCACATTCTTGCCTCCATGTTCCCAGGTAGTATCCACTTTGGTGACAGGTGGTCTTCCCCAAGACCCAGTCTTCCCCTTTCTTTTGGACATGAACAGAGAAGGCGAACACATTTAAAGTTGGGTTCGTTTTCAGTAATAAAGACCAACCTGGCTGCCAAAGCCAAACTATACAGCACGTTTGAGTACGTGCACTGCCTAAACAATATTTGCTGTTGAACAAGAAACCCCCAAGTGGCCCACACGTGGTAGAGTTTGACTTCTTGTTCAGGGTGTTCTTGATCAGGGAACAGCGCTTTTCTTTTTCTTTCTTTCTTTCCTTCTTCTTTCTTTTCTTTCTTTCTTTCTTTCTTTCTTTCTTTCTTTCTTTCTTTCCTTTTCTTTTCTTTTTCTTTTTTTTTTTTTTTTTAAGTTTCGTTATTTTTGAGAGAGAGCACTAGAAGGAGAGGGCCAGAGAGAAAGGGTGACACAGAATCCGAAGCAGGCTCAGGCTCTGAGCTGTCAGCACAGAGCCCGATATGGGGCTCGAACTCATGAACCACGAGATCATGACCTGAGCTGAAGTCAGATGCTCAACTGACTGAGCCACCCAGGTGCCCCAGGAACAGCTCTTTTCCAAGGGATGATCTGTGAGGAGCCCGGGATTTTTCCCTCGTTTCTCCATCACCTTCACCAAGTGACTTTCATAGTTCCCGTGTTCTTGTGCTTCAGACAGGCCAAGGCTGAGCATGGTGGGCCGCACGGGGGCGCCGCATGGCCTGGGCCCGGAGGTGCCATGGCGTCCATCGCTTCTGCTCACCTCTGTGGCCGCACCCCAGAGGGACCAGGGGAGGGATCCAGGGAGCAGAGGAGACAGGGAACGGCCAGCAGGTCCCTGCCACAACACGTAGGGATAACGCATTTCACCCATCATTGAAGAAAACGTGCCACTTCCTAATGAGAATGCCACAGACTGTGTGAAAAGTCACAGTCATCTGGAAATGCTCGCCACCATAATGGTGTTGCAGGGGTGTCCAGGTCAAGCTTGGATCTTTAAGTGTGGTGTCATTTTTTTGTCTTTGAAGTATAGGTGTGTTTTTAATCTTTTCTTCAATTATTTTAATTTGTAGGGCCCTTTAAAAGGACGCAGAGTTGAAGGAATTCAATATGAAGACATTTCTAAACTTGCCTGAGTTTGAAAATTTGTCAACACATTAAAATCCTAAAACATCAAATTGGTGTTCACCAAGGCATTATAAGACTCTACTGTGTTAGGGTGTTTCTTTTGTATAAAGCAAATGGACTTATTTAAATATTACTGTATAGTTGTTCAGCCAAGCTTCTAGAAAAATCTAATTATGTCTCCTGAAGTTTCAAGACAATGTAATTTTGTTCTTAATGGTTTTGTTTCCTTTGTAATATTGCCTTAAAGACTTTTTATCTTCATTAAAAGAATGTTATCGTCAAGTGTTTTATGTAAGACAATTCAGAATCGTAAGGAGGAAATCCTTCATATACTGTATATTTTCAGTAGTAAAGTTGAACTATAAATCTAATTGCGTTTTAAAAAGTCAGACTAGAGAGTCACAGCTTATTGAGACAGAGTTCATGCACCGTATAATTTCACCCACTTAAAGCGTACAGTTCAGTGGTTTTTAGTTCATGCACAGAAGTGTGCACCCAGAGTCACTGTTTGATCTTATTGTCACCGCTGCAGAGAAAGCTTGTGCCTGTGGCTTCGCCCTGTCCTCCCCAGCCTCTGGCGACCACTAGTCTGCTTTCCGTCTCTGACTTGCCTGGTCTGGACATTTCATATCAGCGGAATCATGACAATAGGTCTTTTTATGCCTAGCTTCTTTATTTTTTTTTAATTTTTTTTTTTGGGGGCAGCTTTATATCTTTATTTGCCAATCAGCAATTAGTTCTCGTCCACATGAATAGTCTGTAGATTTTTGAAAGTGGTGCCAGGTACATAGGTAACCAATGTATAGAGCTTGTTTGGTGAATCTTCATCCTGCTTATGTTTTCTGGACCACCGCACACAGACACGGTACGGAACATTCCTTAGTCCTTTGGCCCAGACAGCTTTGTTAAGCCTGGTGTCAGTGCGTACATCTGGGGCTCCCAGCTCCTTCACAGCAAGTTTCTGGAGCTCTCTGAGTCCCCGAGGGGCACGCTTCTTGAAACCCACTCCCTGGATGCGCTTTTGTGAATGTGGATGCTGTGTTCTCTAGCCACTCCCTCGCTGGCGGCAGAACGGCCCCTCTTCTCACCAGCCTGCTTTGTGGTAGCCATTCTGCCGGGCCCGGGCTGGAAAGGAAACTTTTTAAAAAGTTTTTAATGTTTATTTATATTTGAGAGAGAGAGAGGCAGAGGATGAGTGAGGGAGAGGCGGAGAGAGAGGGAGACACAGAATCTGAAGCAGGCTCCAGGCTCTGAGCTAGCTGTCAGCACAGAGCCCAGCACGGGGCTCAAACTCAGGAACCGTGAGATTATGACCTGGGCTGAAGTCGGACACTTAACTGACTGAGCCACCAGGCGCCCCTTCTCATTTTTTAGATAACTATTTTTCATCATTTCCTTGAGGTCCCGTCAAATTATTGGTAATCATGTCTTGAGAAACCAAATTCCCTGAGTTTTCATTGGGAATGCCCCTGGCTCAGACTGCCTGCCTTTCTGCTTTTCCTCACCTATTTCTGTTTTTCCTGTCATACTTGAGTAAACATTGAACCAACATTTACTACCGAGTGTCTCCAGTAAGCAAGCCATTGCAGTACGTGCTGGAGATTGAAATGTGAGAAGCTTGAATAGATCCAAGATGCGTGTTGTGGAAGAATTGACAGTGTTCGGCGAACTGATATTCGAATGACATGATTGGCCAATGAAGACAAACCTGATCTTCTGGGACAGCTACTTACAAATCCACCCTGACCTCGCTGGGCCTCCGTAAGAGACCAGTGACCGATACCAGGATACAGCTCAGTGCCTCCTCTGCCACAGTAGAATCGTGGGATTAGAATATGAATCAGCCTCAGTTGGTAAGTTGGTTGTTGGCTTACTTGACTGAAATGCTCCCAGAGATATTAAGTGGATAATACAATTGAAGGGAAGCATTCTTGATTTTTCTTTCTCTTATATAGATACTCCATAAAAAGTCACCGCCATAGACTTGGCCAGTGTGAAGAAGTGTTAGGAATAGTAATACTAACTTCTTACAGCATGTTTATGTATCCAGCACACATGAGCATTATTGAAGCATTTTTGTACTTAGGCAGCCAGGTAACTTTGACTTTGATCCTACTGGGTCATTCGAGTGACTTCTGTCTCTTTCAGTTGGGATAAAGCTGCAGAGAAAAATGCCACTTTTCATGGTATTAAGTGATCCTTTAAAGCATGTAGAATGATTTGCATAAGACCTCAGACCAGGAGGTACTAAAATAACTCCTGATTCATGACTCATTTTTACCATACCTTGAGACAATTTAATTTCCTTTTTTTTTCCCTAGCTATTTCTTTGGAATAGATCACTTTTTTCTTCAAACGTGGGCTCTCATTTCTTCAACAATAAGACATAGATATTTGCTTGGTTTGAGGAAAACATTTAGATTGATATTTATGAAAAGCTTTGAAGATAGGCTACATGAGTCCTAAAGATGATTAATACCCGACAGAGAGGAGCTCCGTGACGCACCAGCTGACGTTTATGTTGAAGACTACTCCTCTACAAAATTAAATACCAATCAACTCCTAGTGGGTTGCAAAGTGCTCCAATTAATAAGCAAACTTAATATAGGTAATTGTCAGACTGCTTTCCTTCCTTGCTGAGAGCATAATACTTTCAGAAACTAATCAAGAGGTAATGAGTGGAAGAGTCTCTTCCTTTCCAACTCTCCCTATTAATTTGGTTCCTTCATTCAAAATTCAAAATGGATTATTCATTTGTAATTCAAAATTGGTTTATATAAAGAAGGCATAGTTCTGGTCTCGATGGGGACACATGGACAATATCAATACAATTTTAGTTTTATGATTCAGAACACCAGCTATTAATAAAAGTTTTGGTAATTGAATAGCATAGATTTGACTTTACATCTCGTTTGTTCAGTAGAACTCTGTTGTTCAATATCTGCATATAAATATACAGCTAAGATCTTCATTGTTATTTTTAGAACTGCAGAGGACATGAGAAATACTAGGAATCAAACTAAACGTAAATAAAGATAGTAGTTTTAAAGTCTAAATTTTTACCAAGTAAGAGTTAATTATAAGAACCCACTTTTTAAGTCTGTGTTAAATATTAGCATTTTAAGATCAGTATTTTTGAAATAGCAAATGGAAAACATGCAGTAGACTTTTACTGTACCATAGGGGACCGTGGATAAAGCTAAAAGGCAATGCCATTTACCTCTTCTGCACTGAGATTACCTTTGCATTGTAGAAATATCACATTTCTTTAATATTTCACAATTAGACCAAAAGATAAAAACTTGGTTTTGTACGTACAGGTTAAGTGTGTAAAAAAAGGCAGTTTTGTGTCCTTTCTGAAGTAAAAAAAATGACTTTTGCCAAATCATAGAGAGAAAGCCACATAAAAATGGATCTTTAGGGGTGCCTGGGTGGCTCGGACTTCGGCTCAGGTCATGATCTCACCTTTCATGGGTTCAAGCGCTGTGTTGGGCTCTATGCTGACAGCTCGGAGCCTGGATCCTGCTTCAGATTCCGTGTCTCCCTCTCTCTCTGCCCCTCCCCTGCTTGTTCTCAGTCTCTGTCTCTGTCTCTGCCTCAAAAATAAATAAACATTTAAAATATTTTTTTAAATGCACCTGTAAACATTTTTTAAGTGCAATTTTACCACTTTGGCCTTTGAAAAACAATCCTAATTCTAGGAATTGATTTTTAAAGGGAAGTTAAGTTTAAGGAAAGTACAGACTTAACAACGAATCAGATTTGCACCAAATCACCCAAATCCACTATATTAATGCAGACATAATGAAGTCCGATTTTTTGTTTATTGATTCCGCTTTATAAATGCCATTAACCTTTTGTTAGGACATAACTTGCTAGTTAATTTGTTTCAAAATGCAGTCTAATCATATAAGATTATATAAGATTTTTTTTTTAAATTTATTTCTAGGGTAGAGAGAGACAGCATGATCAGGGGAGGGTCAGAGAGAGAGGGAGATACAGACTCTGAAACAGCCTCCAGGCTCTGAGCTGGCAGTCAGCACAGAGCCCGACGCGGGGCTCGAACCCACAAACCGCGAGATCGTGACCTAAGCGAAAGTCGGACGCTTAACCAACTAAGCAACCCAGGCGCCCCAAATCATATAAGATTTTAAATTACTCTCGGGAATTGCTTAAAGACAAAAGATCTGTAAGGAACTCAGGAAGCCTCTGTGTTCGAGGTCATTAAGTCTGTGAGATGTGTTGCTACATAGGGGCTTCCAGAGAATTCAAACCTGTGATTGTCTCAGAATTCACGGTACAATTAGCATGAGGTGCAGTCGGCCATGTGAGGTTACATCCCAAGTGATTTTAAATATACGAAGAATTTGGGAACAACAAAATCTCTGAGGTGACCTCAGAATGCTACCAGGAAGGCAGGACTGTTAGGAGAGGCTGTAATTTAGGAGGCGGACGCCTGCCCATTTGCACCCTATCTTACCTGCAGCATGGCTTTGAGAAACACCTTGGTGAACTAAAGCCTTGTGATGGTTTACTATATATGTCAACTTGGCTGGGCCATGGGGTACCCACGGAGTGAGTCAAACACGATTTGGGGGGCTTCTCTGAAGGTGTTTTTGGATGAGATGTATACTTAAATCACAGACTGAGTAAAACAGGTGGGCTCCCCTAAGTGGGCCTCGTGCAATCAGTTGAAGGTCTGCGTACAACAAACAGGACGCCCCCGCCGTCAGCGACAGGTCGTTCTCTAGCTGACTGCCTTTGGGTTTCCTCGGCAGCATGCACCCTTCCTTCCTGACAGCCTGCAGATCAAAACCTCGACTCTCCCCGGGTCTCCTCCCCCGTCAGTCAGCCCGCCCTGCAGGTCTGAAACGAGCAGCCTTTATAATGATGTGAACAAACTGTTGTAGTCAATCTCTGTCCCTGCCCAGCTGCACCATATATATATGCACAGTTCCGTTTCTCTGGAGCACTCTGACTGCTACAGCCTCCGTGGATGACAGGGTCTGTAAGGCCACCACTGGAAGGAGTGCCGACCAACCACACGGGGCCATCGCAGGGACCTTGGCGAGCCTACCCCGGCAGCTGGTGACAGGGCTTTAGCATTTCTCGCCACAAAGCTCTTAAGATCGACTAACCTCCACTGTTCTTACTCCATGTCCGCCAAATAACCTTCTCGTAATTGAACATCCCATGTGCCTGATGGCATCAGCATACACTCAGCGTACAGGGCCGAGGCCCAGACCCTCGAGAATAATGAAATCATCACAGGAAACGCCAAA